AAAATTCCATAAACCACAGACAAAGCTACAATTACACAATTGAAGATGACTGGGACAAAGTACAAATGACAGTAAGTGCCCATTTAGATGATGTGTTTCTCTTTTATTAGTGGTGCTTAAGAAACCATTACTATTGCTTACTATATATCACTCACATTTTCTTCATAATAAATAAAAGTTACGGTTACAGTTTTTCTTATAAATCAACAGTTTCATTGCTGTGGAATTACTAACCATACACAATGGGGGACACATGTACCGAAGTCATGCATCAAGCCAAATGAGACGCACTATTGGCCGCATGTAATTCTGCACTTACATCCATCTCTATATCAGCTATATAGCAAAACAATATTAATGAAACACAGATAAACCAGATGTGGAGATGCACATCTAATTTAATCTTATATCATTTGTATTGTCTTGATTGTTGTATTTAGGGTTGTTTCACAAAGCTGAAGGACACGTTTGAGAAAAACCTCTTGAACACAGGGATCGCCGTCATTGTTATCTGCATTATTGAGGTTTGAGTTTCCATATGAGGCTTTATGTCTTGTTACCTCAGCTAATCAAAATGAATTGTACTAGACCCTACAGTTTTTAAAATGATTAAATGATTATCACATCAGTTTTGTTTAGCATCTATAGTTTTCCAGCTGATGCAGATCAGCACTAAACTAGTATAATATGATAACTGCAAGTATTTTTGTATCTTGACTAAACATCATCTCTCCTTTTGTAGGTCTTGGGTATGTGTTTCACCATGACCCTGTTCTGCCACATACGTCAAACTGGTTTAGGATATAAATGATCAAAAACATTTCCATAGAAGAAATATATCCGTCTTTCACAGTTTGTGTTCTAAATAACAATTGTCCCACAAATACCCAAAGACAGCCAGTAAAAGACAAGATGGCTCGCAGTTCTTACACGGATGCTCGGTTCTATAGTATGTGTATGGTATTTGTCCTTCACTAAGAAACAGTGATACAAACCCGTAATTATTGTAACTGCATTATTATTATTTTGCATGTATGAACAACAGTTATTAAAGCAGTTAAACCACAAACTGGTTCTAAAAAAAAAAACTAAAAAAAAACTGAGCAGTATTATTTAGCCTTTGGCCATTTCAAGGGGGATTTAAACACTGAATTCACCCACTTTCATCTGAATGTCAAGTTATAAAGAGGGTGTAAGAGAGATTTTCCATGATGAATTCTCTTTACACAAAGATGTAATGCCATATTACACTGTATATAGGTACTGATTATCTTTCACGTTATATAATTAATGTTGAGATTGACCTAATGTTCCTGTAACTGACGTGTTACATAGACTATAATTGACTTGTTACACAGACTATAGTTAAACAATGCACAGCATTTATTTCTGATCACTTTCTTTTCTGACTAGCTGCAGCAATGGCTAAACCGCATGGTTTCCCAATATGCACAGGGTGGAAACCACACATGCTTACTTAACAATTTCACCATTTTGTAATGCATAATATTGTTATAATATTCTTTCTTCTTTTCTCTGCAAAGTAGTGTAAATTAAACTAAAACAGAATGAAAGTGTTTTCTCTCCTTTTTGAAACGTTAAGGCAAATACAAGCACTATGGTTGATAGAGGAAGTGCCATCAATAGCAAATCAACACTTCCTCCACTAACAAGTGTTACGGTCATGCTGAGTGGCTTGAAAAGATGCTTTCGGTTATGAATTTGCATTTAAAGTTCATGAAAGATTAAATATGCGTTGTCAAAGGCATTGAAAACACCATGAAACTAAACATCAGAATTCAACTTTTATTTTTAGAACAAAATCCTGTCTCCACAATAATTAAGACCCCC